ATAATACCTAAAATTATACCAAACGCTGATGTAGATTATTAATACAGAAGAAGATAATTGTAAACAATATATATATGATTTTTATTAGATAACTTTTGTTAAATTTAATCATGATTAAAATTTAATAGATTTGTCCCATTAATACACACACATTCTCCGTTATATTTTTTTATATAAGCTACCCCAAATATTATCTAAATTATCAATATTGTCTGTTATATTTTTTATGTAAGCTATCCCAGAAATCAGCAAATTTAACATCCAAAATAGTATCATTTAACTGCTTATGATTCAAGACAAGACAATTCATTTCGTTGGAGTTGACCTTTTTCCAAACGACATTATCGAGATCAGCATTTTCTCCATCTGGTATTGGCTGACCGTATTTGGCAAAGTTTGTCCACATCTTCACCATTTTCTCGACAACCTTATCCTCCGTACTGCCAAGCTCTATATCTGCATTAAACGAATGCCTGAATATGTAACACAGCTCATCCATGTGTGCGGCTCCTTGGTACTTTGCCGTTTGCGGAATGGCATTTTTGAATAGGTTCAATTTGGTATCGGCTGTGAACTCGTACAGATACATTGGATAAGTACTTGCCCACTTCCTGACTAACTGAATTACAGGATACCTGAAGGAAATATCCGTCATTAACTGTAATAAATCGTAGTCGTATTTGACTGGCAAATTTCCTCCAAAGTAGAATTTCTTAACTTCTTCAATGACCTCGTTGAGGATATTCGGATCACCTTCGATTAGAGCGTGAGACATATCATTTTGCAATGTGTAATCGTGAGGAAAGCCGAACATTGTTTCTAATATCTCCACGAAAACTGCTTCCAGATTGTTGTAACCAATTATGTAAGGCATTCCGACGGACCACGGATCCTTCAGCATATCATAAGGCCCTGCCGTTAAGAAATGATCTTCTCCTGGACCTTCCACTACCAGACCACCATTCCACAACGATTGAGGTCTCGCAAGCTGAAATATAATATTATATGATTAAGCTTGTCTTATTACACTTTTCTTAAATTAACCCAAAACATTTCCTGCTGCGCTTGGAAGATATCGGTGTACGGTTTTTTACGCAACTCGTCTTCGATAATTTTCGGATCATTGCTCTCAATTCCCAATTTTGCAGCTAACTCCAATCCGGTATTTCTGTTTCCGAGCATCCAGGGTACCAGGGCGACTCCACTGTGCGAAATTCCTCTGTGGAAAAGTCCTTTGGACATTGGAGATACCATATGCAGATTTACAGCGACGCCGCCTGCACTTTCTCCAAAGATAGTAACAGAATCCTTATTTCCTCCAAACTTGTGAATGTTCCTTTGCACCCATTTCAAAGCGAACACTTGATCCTTCACACCATTGTTCTCAACTATATCGCTTCCTTCCAAATGCAAGAATCCTAAAAGAAAAACTCACTGAATTGTAATGAAATTAATACATTCCACTTTACCAAGTGCTCCTAATCTATAGTCGAAAGTGACCAAAACTACATCCTCTATCATTATATGATGCGGCCCAATTACATCGACACTGGAACTACCAAAGTAGAAGCCTCCTTCATGCAAATAAACCATGACGTGTTTAAGTTCTGACGGGTTAGGATCTTTCGTGTAAACGTTCATGTACACACAATCTTCTACACCAGTTTGAACCCCCAAGTGAGTATGTATGCACTTGGGCAGATCTACCGTTGCATCCCTTACACCTTCCCAGGGTTTAACTGGTTGAAGTGCCTAAAAAAAACAATTAAACATAAATTGCATTTTCTTTCAATCACCACAACAACAAATCTACCTTAAACCGTAGTGGTCCAAGTGGTGGTTCTGCATAAGGAATCGACATGAAGGCCAAAAAATCTTCGCCCTTGTAATTCTTCAAAGTAGCTCCTCTCAACTTTCCTCCCTCCGTTTCGACGATGTTCTCTTGTCCATCGCACAACGTCATAAACCCTAAAATTAAACAAAGGATAATCATTTTCCACTTCAACAATTGAACAATTTTCCCAGAAACAGAAGCATCTCGTATTTATAGCATTTTCCACTAAAATAATAAGCGTACATTTATAATATTTTAAATGAGTAAATAGATGGTATTAAACATTCAACCGAGCAATTATAGATGTAAATAATAATTTATTCAAATTATTTTATTGTTTAACTATAATTAACAATAAATTTGCCAATTCTACATAGACATTAGAATCATATTGCATGCAAATAATAATATTAATTAAGGTAGTAGAAATAAACACGATATTGAAAATAATTGTAATTAATTTAAAGATTATACAACGCGGACAAATTGCGACAAATTATAAAGCTGTTTCTTAAAATACAACTTAAGTAGCTTAAGTAATAATTCGAGAAGAGATTTTAGAATCTACGGTTTGGTTGAAGAGAAAACGAAAATATTGATAAAGAATGGATTGACAATTTCAATTTCATTGATATGGAAAAGGGACTCTTCAATTTACTCTTTAACTGGACAAGAATCTGTACTTTTTTAAATAGTTTATTTAAATTAAATTAAAAGGATTTAACAACTTATATATTTTGTTTTTATTTTAGAAACCTTCAAGTATAATTATAGTCAGTATTTACGTTATTTTATAATTGTTGCATATTATATTTAATAATGAAACCAATAATTAAGAAATCTATAATATTTCTGTATTTCCTATTATTGAAAAACTATTTATTTTCTATTCAGAAATGGTGTCAATAAAGTACAAACACAAATTATTATTAAATTAAATTTCTTGTCTTTTTTTGATGCAAAATCTAAAATAACATCATTAAAGTTTATGGAATTTTCTATCTTGCTTTCAATTAACAAACCAGCTAATCATGTGAAACGTTCTTGGCTTACTGTAGATCAAGTTTTAATCAAGAAAATGTACGCTCGGCTGAAGTCATAGTTACAAGTGTTATCAAAATTATTTGCAATGTAATTAATAAATTGGGATTTGCTTCAGAAATATTGTTTTTTTTTTTAAATATATTTTATTGTGTCAAGACTCGACAAACATAATCTTCAGGACATCATAATTTCTTCAAACACTTCTATTCTGTCTACATCTTCTTCTAAGTAGAGAGCAAATCTCTCAAATTTATGTATTTATTTTCCAATGATATGCAGCAAATCTAAGATCATCTAGCGACACATCGATTGAAAATCACTGCACTAACCAAATCAGTTGAGTGGATAATGAAGAAAAGGAAGTATTAAGTATAAACAGATGTTACTGATTTTCATCTATAAAATACTCATAATATAATTAATATTTAACTTAGACGATTAATTTATACAATTAAAATCGATTATGCAGCGGAAAAATTCCTAACTTATAAACTTTAATCATACACCGATAGATGAGTCTCAATTTGAAACACGTATTTGTAAGTCTGGTTGCATATAATAATAAATCAACAAGTTCAGACACATATAAATTGTAATAATAATTATTACAACGTTATTTATGTTTAGTTTTAAGGTAAACAAGTTAAGAATTTTTATATTATTAATCACTAATATGCTGGTTCCCCAATAGAGAGCAATACAAGAACTGGCTTTACCAGAATCACATTTCCAGAAGTACCGAAACTGTGGAGTAGACTTAAGTTAAGATAGATGTAGCAAAACGAGCTATACCAAATACTTTTGAAATGATCTTAATACAAATATCTATAAATGTTTCCTTCGACAACTTGGCCAACAAATGGCTTAACCATCAACTCAAGTGAGACCTATACAGAGCTTCTATCAAAGCTTAAACAAATATAATTATCAACATGATCTATTTAGATCATTTTGTCCATATTATACTTATTACATAGAAAGGTATATATTAAAAAAATATATAATTGTATAGGAATTATTCAATTCTTGTAAATGCTCGAAATGTAAATTGAAGACATTTAAATATGATGTAATGATATTTATCTAATAGTTAAGATATATACTAAATTTCTAAAAAAATATAAGTCAATTAATTAATTTAATTACTATTTAAAATCTATTGCATAACCGTATGATAAATATTTAAATAGAAAAGTGTCAACCTAACACTAAGACACTTCACTATTTTTAACAAAGATAATCAATTTGCTTTTAAATGATCATGTCACAGTGAGATAGCCTTTTTTGTACAAATTATTGTTTTAGAAGAGTAAATTTTTACCGGTCGCTGTATATAAAACAAGCAACTATATTTCTCAGAAATTAAAAATGAAATAAAGATGTAAATACTGAAAAAAACATTATAATTGAATGCACATGTGAAAGACATCAAAAAAAGATCGATTAATATTTTAACATTTTAGTTTTTAGTTAGGTAACTTGAATTAATACTTCACAATAATGTACTATATAACATTCTTCTGTTTTCTTCCCCTCTACCGAGAGTAGAAGAATGTAACTTAGCTCGCACTGTGTGGTGCATGTAGCCAATATATGCCTAATTAAAGACCAGATCCTTAAACATATCGCGAACAAATAAATAAATCCAAAATTTTGACTAAATTTATCAAAATGTAAGATTTGATAAGAGTGGAAGTATGCAACGCAGTCAAATATAAAGAAATGATTCTATGTATATTAAAGAATACTAATATAACTTAGATAATCATAAAACTCATTCGTTAATAGAAAGTGTAATAAGGAATACTGTTTTGATAATAGCTATATTCTGGATTTTTGTAAGACATTTCTAAAATTTAAATTATTGAGCGATAGTGGCGCATCACTTAGCGCTGCTGTTGAACTAATATTTGATTACTGCGCCACCACAGTAGCCAAACACAATATTTTCTATAAGCCCTGATCCCCCTACTACCGCTACCTGGAACGAGTCTTAGTTGGTGTGAGTCAGTCGCTTTTACGAACAGCAGTCATCACCGCCACTCGTCGAACAAGGGGAGAACTATGTTTTTGCATTGTGCTGCGATATGCATTATTATGATTGCTGAGGTTCGCGCACGATCAGTGCTGTGCTCAATTTGAAGCAACGACCTGTTGCTTGCTGTTGCTCATCATCGGCGGAAGTCTGGCAAGTTCGAAGACAGTCCAGTCCGTACTATAGAGGAGAGTGTTACTGCCGTTGGTGAGGACGATGGATACAGCTGGGGCGAATGCGGAAGAAGTGAATGCGCCGAATTGGCTTAGGGAGCTGGAGGCGAAAAGGGAGAGGAGGTTGAAAGCAAGGCTGGGCCACGAAGCCGGCGCCGGTTCTCCATGTCTTAAATGCCAGTCCGGATGTCCAGGTCAGTAACACAATGATATACGCACTAGTCGCAGTCTATGTACCAATAAAATCAATGAAGACGAGATCCTACTTGAGGGGATTGAGTCATCATCGTCCGTGACTCATGTATGTTATTGCTCTCCTTTTGTTACATTCAAAGAAAACTTTCCATGTCGAGGAAGACAGATCAATCAAGTACAAACCAAATATTATTGTTTATGACACATTTTAATTTAAATATAGCAATAACTAATAATACTCATTATTATTTTACATCAAAACATCAGATTGCTTTTAATCTTATATAATAAAAATGCACTGTTTCTGAAAAATATGATATAAATTTTATTTAACTATCTTTAAACGAATTTTTAAAATAATGTACTTTAGATAAGATTTGATAAAAGCTTTAATCATTTCTTAAAGATTTACAAACTTAATTATAATATTAATGAATTTATATAAAAATAGGATGTTTAGAAATATTTTAATTCTATCATTAATTAATTGAAACATTAAAAGTATTATCACTAAGATTTGTAAATCGTATATTAAAAGAAAATTAGCTGATCGTAATTAATGTGTGTCAATAAAACAAATATTCCGAAATAATTAGTTATATAAATATTGTTATTTGATTTTCAGGTCTAGATTTACATTTTTGGCGTAAAATTTGCAAAAGCTGCAAATGCGGCAAAGAAAACCATGATGTCCACGACGACGATCTGCATGGATGGGCTCAATTCCAATTGTTGGGTAGCAAACCCCGAACGCCGCAAAGATTTGGTGAGCATATAGTTCATTCGATGCAAATTACAAATGTATAAAACTTATTTTTCTATTTGTTAATTAGTATTACCGGGGAAGAAAGATGAGGTGGTTTTGGATTGGGCGCCGAAAGGATCTAAAGAAGCTGTAGAAAGTTACTTGCGCGATATTCCTACAGAAATGCTACCAATCAAGGGTTCGAAGGCGGCAAAAGATCGAAAGTTGCTTCTACAAAAACAGATGCCTATGCACGATCTGGATCCTACCCTCTGCGACGCATTGACAGAAGACGAAACGAAGAAAATGGGCGATTACGTAAAGCATCTCCAGGATCACAGCGTCGGTGTCGGCAAGCTGGTTGCTGTTGATGCTAAATTAATTACAAACAAAATGAGCGGCCAGATGAGCTGCGTCGAGGTGGCACATTTGAAGCCGATGAATATTAGCCATGGCTTGGAGAAGATGTCGATAAAACCACGTAAACATGATTACGAGAATATTGATGCATTTGGAAAACCCAAATTGGAGGCAGAATTGGAGAAGCTCCAGCAGATAAACGATTGCCTAAGCAATCCCGCGCAGGCTTTGTATGGCATGTTATTAGATAAAAGCAGCGTTCCTTTGAAAGATCACCATGGAAATCCTATAAAAACAACTCTCGATTACTATGGTAACCCTATCATAGATTCCACTATTCTAGAACTTATAGGACCTCTGGCTAAAGCAGAATACGCTCTACTCTTGGACAAGAATTGCGCGCCAATTTTGGATTCTCAAGGATTACCAATCAAAAATGTCATTGCACAAGCCACAGAACCAGTTATATTAGATAAATTCGGAAACCGTGTCCGTCCACAGATGGCCTTGTTACTCGATGGCAGCAAAGCTCCGATGAAAGACCAAGCGAACTCACCGATCAAAGTTCCTTTGGATGCGTACTCTCAGCCCATTATCCCTAGGAATTTCAACCAAGTGCCTAAGTTTGCTAAAATCTTGGATAAAAATGGTGCCAGCATTATCGATCATAAAGGGGATCCGATGATATATGACTTACTGAAGCCTAGCGGATTTAAATTTGAAAGACCATCCAAATTTGCTAAACTGCTCGATAAGAATCGCCATCCTATTATGCATGGAGGCAATCTCCTTGTTACGAATTTGGATCCATTTGGAACTCCGATCTTGTCTGATTCTATAATCGAAAAGTTAGGAAACGTTAGACCGCAATTCGCATCCATGCTGGATGCTCATGGAAAGGAAATCAACGTGGAGAAGCCACTTGACGTCAAGGATCCAATCTATGATAAATTTGGCAAAGAGATCAGGGTCAAGTATGGTTTGTTGTTGAAAGATGATGCACCGATTCGGGATGCATTAGGAAAACCAGTGGGTGTTCAGTTGGACGCTTTCCGAAGACCGATAATTGATTCGGCAGTTTTAGAGAAGATTGGTTTCAAAAAACCTGAATATTCGATGCCGCTTCACGCCAACGGCGCTCCGATCTTGGACAACTCCGGCAAGGTGATCAAAGACCCAATATTAGTGGACGATAATGCAGGTACTTTACAGAAAGGGTTACTTCTGGATGGCAACTTGCAAGTTATCAAAGATCCGTACGGCAAAAGAATCAAGGTAGATTACGATGAAAACGGAAAAGCAATTTTGGATTTGAATCAGGTGATCAACAAAAAGCCAGAGTTTGTGTTAGGGCTAAACGAGAATTTGGGTCCCATTTACGATGATTTCGGTAATCCTAAGATTGATAAACTGGAAGTGAACAGAGATAAATTTGGAAACGAGATTGAGCCCATATTTGGCGTTCTGCTCGATGCTCAGAAGGAACCAATTTTGGATGCTTCAAATTCTCCGATCATGGTTGATTTGGATGGACTTAAACGGCCTATATATGATCACAATTTGAAACCCAAATACGTAAAACTGCTCGACAGAAATGGAGCACCTATTTATAATGCGATTAAGCCGATTCGCACGCAACCGAAATACGCACAAATTGATGGGGTTAATGTCAATTTAGATGCAGCTTTGAAACCGATCATCGATGAGAACACTCTGAACAAGCTAGGTAAGAAGTTGCCAAAGGAAGCAATTTATTTGGACGAAGCTGGGAATATAGTTTACGACGATTATGGTAGACCGAGGACCGTTGCAATAGATACAGCAAATCAAAATTCCGGTGCAGCCAGTGCCCTTCTATTAGATCAGAACTTTGCGCCAATTTTGGATCAAAACGAGCCTATTAAACTGAAGTTAGACGCAGTTAAAAGGCCAATCATTGATAATTCTATATGCGAGAGGGTGGGCTTCAAGGAACCTCAATTCATTATGTTCCTAGATGAGAATAATGAGCCTTTATTAGATAATTATGGGCAAATCGTGCACGAAAAGATTCCGGAGGAGAGCGATGTGAAGGCTGAGGTCGAGGTTGAGACCAAATCGAATTGTCACAGATGCAAAAAGGTATTGAATGACAATGCGATCGAAATCGATAGGTGCTCTTCGATGTGGCACGTCGAATGCTTCAAGTGCGCCGGATGTAACCAAAGTTTAGCGGATTTCGTCTACTGCTACGATGATGAGAGCGACGACGTGTATTGTTTAAGAGATTACGCAAAGATTAGAGGTATTCCTCGATGTAATGCGTGTGATGAATTGATTCTGTGCAAGGAGTATTGCCTGGCACAGCACGAGACCTACCACGTCAAGCATTTCTGCTGCTTTGAATGTGATTCACAGTTGGCCGGTAATAACTATCTCGTGGAGAACAAACAACCCGTATGTCTCGAGTGCTACGATAAGTTGATGGCCGATAAATGTGCTAAATGCTTACGGGTCATCGGTGCAGAAGAGCAAGGGGTAAACATAAAAGGATCGCACTTTCATGCGACAGATGATTGCTTCAGATGCCAAACATGCAGCAAGCCACTACTCAACAGTAAAATGCTCTTCAAGGACATGAAACTGTACTGTTCTTCCCCCTGTTACCATAACGATAAATAATATCCTATTTTGATAAACAGTATAACATATACAATATTTTTGTAAGGAGCTAGTGCCATTTATAAATGTTATCATATATATATATATATCTTTATATAATATATTATAGAACTAATATACCTTTTATTAATTATAAATACAATTTGTTTAAATTGTTACCCTATATATTTTTTCCTGAAAGATCCATGCATTTATTTTATTTTTCCTTCTGCGCCTGACTTTTATTGTTCTTTAATCTTTATTGACAGTCGATAACGCTTCTATCTGTGATATTTATTGACATAGCCGTTTGTTTGATCGGTTGCTCTATATTTGTCTTTGATAGTTTCTACACAGATTACTCACTACAGTAAATTTAAACAGATATATAACTTACGTAATAATATTATAAGATCTTAAGATCGACTTTTCTATTTAAAAAGTCTCGTTTTACACGTGTTTTCATTTAAAATTAATAATTATTCACTTCTATATCTTAAGACAATCATTGCTCTAAAAAGAAACATTGGTTATCATTTATTATTAATTTAAAAACAAAAATTAAATGTAACGAATATAAACATATATTTACTAAATTTTCTTCAATAGATAATATTTAACAAGTTTATCATTACAAATTAATAGCGTATTATATAATCAACGTAAATGAATAAATGTAAAAAATCAATGTCATTTCTATAAGGTACGATAAAATCTATACTTTTGATATATTGATTGAAAATGTAAATAATTTATGTAAATTGTTCTATTTAAAAGAAAATTTCGCATTGAATCATAATAAACAAAATTTTTAAATAAATTATATTGAATGCACAAATAAAATAATATTTCAATAATTGAAATATTTTTCTTTCATTTAAGAAAATTGTTTATAGAACAAAATAAAATATTGGAAGACAGTTTACGTATAGTTAAGTAATAAAGTTCATAGTGATTATATTTTTTAATATATTTAAAATATGAAAGAATTTACTTTTAGGACGGTCGGAACTACAAGAAATGCTATTACATTTTTTTAAAATTATTTATATTTTGTACGTATCTATAAAACAATCTTACAGTGTATTCACTCTTTCTCCCATATATTGTTTTTTTTATATAGCAAGGGACTGTCTTCGCTAATGGCTAAATTCGAAATAGCAAAAATATTATATTACAATCAGATAATTACTAATTCTTATACATTAGCTGATTTTCGGTACAAATATTTTAACTCTTAACAATAACATTGCTTAAAACATTTTGTACATGCAAGATATTCCTAAGATTCAATTAATATAAACGCTCCCGTGGATTATATATAAATGTTTTATAAAGTTGTTGGAAACCATACTAGATCAATTTCGATAGTTCTAAATACTAAACAATACCTCTTAAAACGAAGAAAAAAAATAGAGAAAATCATATTTTATCAAGTACACAAAATTTCAAAGATTTGGTCACTTTATAATAATAAACGCAATGGACATGCAAAATATTAAATTAATAATTATTAAAAAAAAAAATAAAGTCTTACATCAACATATCGCGATTTGTATAATAAAAAAAAATTGTATATGAAATGAAAGTTAAATCCGTGCATTAAGCTTAATAAAATGATTAAAATTGCTATGGCTAGTTTCAAGGGCTTTTACTTATCGAACAATCGATAATTTGCTTGAGACATCTACCAAATTCGTCTAGGATCTGTTTCGTCGTTAAGTCCTCTTCTTGGTCGCACTCCTCAGCATTGTTGCACAATGTGAGCAAACACTGTGTGGTAGCTTCAATCACCTCGGTCGTAACATAATTGAAGGCGTGTTTGATTACAGGCGATTTCTTCGTGCGGTTCGAGTACGATAAACTCCTCTTCGGACTCGCAGCGTAACTCGAATCAGACAATATTGACGATCGTGAACTACTCTTCTCCATCGTGTCTTCAAAGTTTCGACAGCCAATACATTTGCATATACCGGAACACGGAATTTTAGCCTAGAAAAACTAAATTTAGTAAGAAAATTATATATTTAACGACAGATCATACCTCGTAGCATTCGCAGTAGTTTTTAAGACAGCCAGACCGTTTGCAGTTGCACCCCTTCGTGTGTTTTCGGATAGCGCCGTCTGTGGTGTCTTTAGCTTTACCGATTTTTGGCCGGAACGCGTTCGGATTTCGCTCGAGGCAATTCTTGATCGCCCTTTGTCGATGTTCCTCGAAGTCCAAATTGTTGTAACAATTCATGCAATTGCACATGTAACAGAACTCGCCGTTCGCAAAACAATCGCAATATAGCTTCAAGCATTGAGATTTCGTGCAATTGCAAGGCTTTCTCGGTCTCATTCCGTTCGTCTCCATTGGTGTCTCCTGTTTTATATTCGGTACAATTGCATCTCCGGTGGAAGTGGATGCCGATGATTTGGTAGTAGTTGCGATATTTCTCATTGAAGGGATTGCAACTTTCAATGTAGCTTGTGGTCGTGTGTAGGTGGGTAAAAGCATTTGAGTGCTCGAACTACTAAGTGTACCAACTGGACGGACGGTAGTTGTAGTTTTCAATTTCTGACTAATCGTGGCTGTCTTACTAATCGTCTATAAAAAAATAGTTATTTTCAATTTGCACATTATAAAGATAACAAGCAACAAACCTTTAATTCCGATAGAACCAAATTTGCGTTTTTAAGCAAATTACCAGTTGTAGTTATAGGAATTACCTTGGTGCCGAGAGCCGGAGCTTTCGTTGTCTGTATACTCGCCACAGTTGTAGTCTCCGCTTGAGAGGGAGTAATAAACTTAATATATTGCATCTAAAAGCAAATTAATTATTATAAAAAAAAAATCCTTAAAATATCATTCAACTAACCCCTTTGCCAGGTATATTAATTTGGTGCAATCCACCAGCAATTGCTTGTGTTCCAGCTACTTGAATTATTTGACTTGGAATCACTGTTGTTGTGCTTGAAACATTTGTAGGTTTGATATAAATACGTTGAGTAAGTTTCCCAGCAGCAACTGATGTTTGTGGTGCGGGCAATATTTTGGTGGGAGATCGAACTTGCGGCACAATTTTAATGGGTTTCGACGTCTGACCTTTGTTTAAAATAATTTGCTTGCCACCACCTTGAGGTATAATCTTTGTCCCACTTATTAAACCCATCTGTTGAGCTTGTGCCAGTGTTAAAGTTTTTGTAGCTGTGGTTGTTGTACTGACCGGAGTCTGTATAATCTTTAGCTGTGCTTGAGGCTCAGACTTTTGCACCAAAACAATCTGTTGTCCAGCTTTCGCTTCTAAAATAAAATAAAATTAATATTAAATTAAATTTAAGTATAAACTTTTTCATTTTACCAAACGTTTTTGCAGGTTTAGGCACTTGTGATATAACTTTTTTCATAACCAGTTGTTTTGGCTGTACTACTGATATTGTACTTGTTGCTACTTTTGAAGTACCCGTCTTCATTGTAACAGGTTTTGCCATTTGTAAATTAGCCAAGCTGATGCCTTGGCTCGTACTTAATAGTTTGATTTGCTGGCCAGGTGCAGCTCCTCCAAAAATATTTTCGTGTTAAAAACAAACAATTAAATAAATATAAAAATAAATACCTTGTACAACCAATAGTTGTTGTCCTGGTAATGTTTTGAAAGACAGTGGGACTTTTGCAGGTTTAGGGGCTATAGACAATGGTCGCAGTGGTGGCACCGTTGACTTTGATTTTATCTCTATCTGAATTTTTTCTTCTTCTTTATGCAACAACTCCCCCATTTCTTCAGATTCAATAACAGCAATTTCTTCATCATCATTTCCAACTGCACTTGTCGATAGCACATAACTATATCCACTAGGCAAGTTCGTTTGTGTCTCTAATTCTACTTCACCATGCTCATAATCCTGTAGATCCTCCGAGAACACCTCCAACTCAGAGGTAAGATTGCTGTGGTTCAAACTATCCCCATCAATTGTAATGTTTTGCACAATGGACTCAACTGTTGCCTCACTATCATCTAAAACAGAACACCAAATATTACATAACCTGATAGGCTGGGAAGAAACAAAACGAAACCAGGCGGAATTAAACAAATGAATTCAAATGTATTTCGACATTTTGAATTTTTGAAACGTCAATTGCGCCTTGGAATTTTCCTCAGGCCTCTTATGGAGCCAAGACTTTTGAAAATCATACCAATTTAATGCATGCTACCAATATTCTATATACGAAAGCAATATGAAATTGAACTATTACCTTTTTGCACGAAAGACATGGTGATTTATTGAGCCGTTTCCTTAATGAAAAACCAATGAAAATTATGAAAATATATTTAAAACACAAACAACGTAAATTTCAGCTTGGCCAATGAAGTTAGCACCTATCACATTGACCTGTCAATTTTCAAAAATGGACGCACCTAATCTCCAACAAACGAGAATTCATTTTTAATTAACTTACTATTTTGAAGAAGTACACGTGATTTTATAAAACGAAATAAAATATATCTTGTTGTTTAATCTATAATCTATGACTACTTTAAAGAGCGATCATTATAAATGTCGTGAAACACTGATTTTATAATGTTGGTGACCCTGAGAATTTATTGCATTTGCCGCATTTTTTTTTAATTATATGTCCTTTGATTAAATCATTCATTAATATTAAAATATTAATAAATTCTGAAAGTAAATGCAGTATTATACTATAGGAAACAACACTTTTAAAGATTCTTCTCAATTATTTACTTTTTGTCAAACTGCAATGAAGTTAGTTACGTATATTTGTCTGGTGTATGAGAGCACGAGTACACGTTGATTAATTAAACTATTACTAATATTACCTTATAGTATTCAAAGATTTTTTTATTATATAATTAAAACAAGTCAATTTTGTCATGATGTTTACATTTTTCAATTTACAATTATTTCTAGACTACCCAATTTGACCTACTCGATACTTAATTATATATTGATATATGAACTTGTGTTTTTTTTTTAATTTTAAAGATAACTATTTTTTTTTAAAGATACTTTTATACATTTCCTTATCAATTTGTGTAGGTTGGGTTACATAACAAACTGTTGACTTTATATTATACAGTGTGTTCCTTATTACTGTTTTTATAGATGCAACTGTGGCTGTTCGCTTGATCATCATATTTTATTTGTATTGATCAGGCTCAAAAATTCTATATAGTGAATTATAAGAATGAACAGCAAGAATGTCCCTCTACCAACATCAGTTCGGTCTCTGATTAGGTCCAAAAATGTAAAAAATTGTACGTGTCTTTTAAAATTTGTTAAGAGTGCAAAAGTATCGCTATAGGCCACCCATTACACGTGCAGTTCCCTAAATCCAAATATTAATCTATATCAGGGGTGGCCAACATGTCTATAGCGATCGATCAGTCGATCACGAAGCCACTTATATATAAATATAGTATGTATTTCACACATTACCCCTCACGTAGACTACGCTATGACAAATCGATCGCGACACATTTACAAGAGCAAAATTAGATCTTCTGTACATAAAAGTTGGCCACCCCTGATTTATATTATCCATCCGAAGTCTCTCCTTATACTGAAACAGGGTTTTCCCCTAACTTAAGCTAGATTAGATAAATTATCATTCAACAAAGGCAGTTGTTGCGAAATTGTGCAAGATGTCCGAAACTGTAATAAGAATAAGTACTAAGCAGGTGATTACTCTTCCTGACATTTCATCATTAAATAAAGAAGTCGGAAAGAATAAGCGTTATGACAAGAAGAAAGTTTTATTTGTTTGCTTAGGTAAATATGAAAGCATTTTTATGATTATCGATAGATTTCTTGAAATTTTGCATATTTTTCTTTATTTCATTTACTTTTGTTACTTATATATAGTAAAACTAATACTAATATTAATGTAATTAACTTTAACAGCAATCATTTTGTCGTGTCCCGGGGTTAAGAAATCCGTGGATTATCTCGTAGTTATGTCGTTGCGGAGTCTTAGAGGGGTTTATGAATATTAAATGCAATATTCTTAATTAACTTTATTATACACATCAGAGTTTTATTGAGAAGTCAACTAAACAATTGTTGATCTCAGGTATTATTAACTAAGAGTTACATTCTCCTCTTAAGTTAGTGTTTATGAAGTAAGTGCTCTTCCTTGGACTCTCCCAAGTAGGACTTCTTCTCAGTTCGACCTTTAGCTAAGACTTCTTTTCTCCTCGGTCCCCTGACTAAGACTAAATTATATAATACAAAAATGTGTTCATTTCAAAAAGGGGCCGCGTGGGAATAAAGGGTTTGACCTTGTGGAAAAGCGTTTCTTTATCTAAGTTTTATGATCCTGCCCAAATATTTAGGGGCTGCAAAAGGCTGTTAAGTGGTGATGCAATAGACGCAACTATATGATTTAATGTGTAACCGTCGTTCAGAATATTCCACAAGTTATTCTAAATATTCACGCACAAGTATCCGTTTGTATATTTGATGGATACATTAAATATGATTTGTAATAATTAAGAGGAAAGTCATGGCTTTAACAAATATACATATTAGTTATACAATAGATGACAATAAATTGGTCTGCCACTACAATTTATTGATAACAAACGAATTAATTAATACCCACAGTTGTATTCTTATTCCCTATTGGTATTCATAAGTTGAAAAAGTATTTTGTATGAATTAAGTCAAAATGTTTTATTACGTTTTGCTTAAATGTTATATTAATAATGCTAGATTATTGTTTAAATATCCATTTCAGAGAATATCTGTAGATCGCCAATTGCCGAAGCTGTCCTTATATATTTGATAGAAAAGCAATATCTTTGCACTCTATGGTATGTAGATAGTGCAGCTCTTGGAGAAGGTCACGTTGATTCTTTGCCTGATCCAAGGGCTATTCAGACATTGAGAAAGCATTCCGCCGCTAGATATCTTCATCGCGCTAGACAGGTATTAAACATTACAATAGTAAAATATTAATTGTTAATATTATTCTTATTTAGATTCATCCAAGTGACTTTGTTAAATACGATTACATTTTCGGCATGGACCTGAACAACATCTCTGCTTTGAAAAGTCAAGCAAAGGAAGTTCAAAACAGTAAAGCTAAAATTTTATTGTTAGGTGATTATGATCCACAAGGTGAACGCATCATACGGGACCCATACAACGTAAGAAATGAGTGTATTCATTGAACCTCTTAAATAATTTGTTTGATTACAGGATGACGATTTGAACGGATTTGAGCAATGTTACCAACAATGCATGCGATGCTGTAACGCTTTTCTTGAGCAAAATCCCCACACTACGGGGTAGTCTGGCGAATTTGCCTTTCCATTTCTAATAACTCGTCAATCTCCAAATCAATCTGAAACAGACCACTTGTTAATAAACCATTTATTTTCTTGTAATCTCTCCCAGACATGATACGTTTCTAGTATCTCCTGTTGTTAATAGGATTGAAGAAGTCTAAAAACATTACATGCCCTACAAAAATAGTCCAAGTATTAAATAATAACGATCGGTTTGTTAAACATGTTTAAATTGCCTTCAATGCGAGTTTTGAAAATAGACCCAAACTTAGCTTGCGATTCAAACTTTTCTCGCTTTCTTCATCATAGTCGAATTCAGCATCTGCATCACATTTACTAAATCTGTTTTTTTTTTCTGATAGAATCTAATTCTAAAAATATAAATAAATATATGTACTTTAAACAAATACAATGTTTTTACCTTTTATATCCTTGTCTTCAGCCATACGGTAATTCAATGCCTATTCTTGTTTACGTTGTGGTATAACTTTGTAAATCATGCTAGTCGCAAGGCGATTACCACAAGCATCAGAGCAATATTTAGACCCATACCTAGCACTATTTGTGCAACTAGGGCCGGATTGGTGCGATTGCGCCAGAAGAACTAAAAAAATAAGCTCTGACAGATTCTAAGATTAATGATACATCTATTGATATTGTGAAGGAAGCAGACTTAAACTGTAATATGTTAGTCAAAGAAATGGACGCTCTAAAATCTATTCTTTCATCAAAATATATCCAACATCCATTTAAAAATTTTTCAAGACAGAGCTACAGCATTTCTAAACCTATTTATTGCCCTTAGAATATATTTAACAATTCTGGAGAGAGATCATTTTTTAGATTAAAACTTATAAAAAAAAAACTATCTAAGATCGACAATGACTCAGCATAGATTAAGCAGTTTAGTGATCATGCCTATGAAGAACAGATTTTTTGCGAAGTACATGTAAAACACCTCTATAGGGATTATGGCAGTCGGGATTTTGACATAGTCGGGATTTCGATACACTCGGGATTTCGAACATCGGGATTGTGATTGCCTCGATTAAACTATTACTAATGTTGCCTTAAAGCAGCGTTTTCCAAACTGTGAGGCGCGCCTCCCTGGGGAGGCGCAAATATTAGTAGCAGTGAGCAATTTTCCTAATATCTGCTAAACTATAGATACATTCCTGTGCTCTTATCCATATTGCTGTAATACGCTTTTAAAGTTGAAAAATTGAAATTAGAACGTTCGAAAACAGGTTTCTACATTTCATTGATTTATCTCGAAAACTATAATAGATAGAATTAATCC